TAAAGATCTCTTTTTTATGTAATTACTCTTACTGAAAAGTATTTACCTTGCTTATTTACCGAGTTTGTTCCCTGGGATTTTAATGACAACACATTATACTTTCTTGATGAAGGCCTCCTCTGCATGAGGGCCTCTTCCTTTAATTGCAAGATGTGATTCGGTTCCTTTCGTGGTATTGACCTCCCTACTACAAGTCTCTGCAGTGAGGCTTCAGTAAGTTGAGGAGTCTGCATGGAAGAAAAGAGATGAGCTAAGGGAAGACAAGTAAAAGCACGATATCTACTAACCCCTGGCTTTGGAAAGATGAAAGCATGGGGCACCGCCCACTGTTCTTTGGAAATCCTGCTTAGGGATAGAGCCGTATAGCTACGATAGGGAAGGCTTGGGAGTTAGTATGTGTTCAGTGCCTCGGAGGAGATGCTCTTCACCCCCAGTGGTTTCCCTGAAGTCTGTGATGGTCTTAGGCTTACAAACTAGAGACATGAAGTCCCCGCTTAAACCAAGTGGCAAGTACATCTAGTTTTGCTCCACAGAAAAAAACGGATAATTTTACATGGTACACATCAGGGAGTGACTGCAGAAGGAACTAAAAACATGGTATTTTCTGCTGACAGTTGCCGTCTATAAGAGAGGAACTTTAATTTTCTACTTTGCAGATATAACGCATAAAATTTTGAAACGCACACAAGTGAGTTAGAAAGACTGAAGTCTCCTTTCAAAAGTGTTCAAGCCCATTTAGAAAATACCATACCCAGGACTTTTGGAAATATTTGTCCAATGTAATTCATAAGTGACGACAAATCATATACATAAGTAAGACTGAACTTTATTTCAACTCAAGTTAGTGTAGCAAAGTTAAATAAAAATTAACCAGGTCTTTTCACTAAGGAGCAAAACATACCAGTATGCTAGTCCCAGAAACTTGCTACACATTGGCACAGACCTATTTTGGCAGCTTACAGTGGTATAGGAGAGTGTGACACATCACTCAGTGAAAACTGATACAAAACCCCGTGGGGATTATTTACAGCCATTACAGCAGTAAAGTTCAGCAGCACAAGCATGATATAAAAATTGTTCTTCCTGTCTACTACAGTTGGAAGACAACTCGCATCACTGAAGACACCAGCTACTATCGAAATGGAGGTGCCTTATAATTTATGTTTCTTTTCACCTGAACAGGGGCAAAATCTGGGTGGCCAACAGGGTACAACCGGGGGGGGGCGGGGGGCACAATGGGAGCAAAGCAAAGAAAACCATTTTAGAACCAGCATACTATGGTGTCATTCTTTTGGGAAGAATACCATGCCCTAAAACACCACCTGCCTAATTTCTCTTGGAAATTTCTTGCAGAAACAATTGACGTCCAAGGGAGGAGGAAGGGAGCTATCTAGTGAGGAAAACCAGAAAGGTATGGCAGAACTTCTTCTTTGAGGTCATCAGAAAATAAATAAAATCAAAAACCACCTTGATGCCTTTCAGTTCCAGTCCTTTGCCTTCATGAGCAATCTGACCCCAACTCTGTAAACGCACTGGCATCCTTGGCCAAGTCAAAGAGAAAGACCATGAGACCTCGCAGTCAAAGTCCCTCTCCTGGTGTATATTTTAATTAACGGGAGCCTGAGTATTATCTGGGAAAGGGGATAGGGCTCATGGCTTTCACATCAGGTAAAACTTTCTGTAAGTGCTTGCTCCAGTCTCCTTTCATGTGCATTTCGTTCAAGGGCATACATTCCACCTTTTTTTCTTTTTTTTCTTTTTTTTTTTTGACAATTGGAGGTTTGACAACAGGAGAACAGAGCTATAAATGTGAGGGTGCAATATATCATGAGATAAAGTGTGGAGAACATGTCCTCTACCAAAATGCCCCTTGGTGGAAAGAAAAAGCCCAAAATGCCTACAATGAGAATTCCCTCTGCTTGTTACAACTCTAAAGGAGCAAAAACCAAAACAAAGCCCCAACCCATGGGCTGTGCTGTGCACGTTCCTAGGGTATCAGCTCTGGCAGAAAGTTGAAAGGTTACATTTATGAAATAGCAGCTGCTTTCCTGCCATTTGATTCAGGCTTCTGCACTGCAAAGTCTCGAAACCGAAAGACAAATCTGACAATATGCTAATCTTCCAATAAAAAAAAAAGTGACTTCTGAACCCTTATCTGTTGAAGAGCTGACAGTGAAGTTCAGAGACGGTTGTCTAACCAGACAAAACGATAGAGAAAATATGCCTTCAAACAAGATCATAAATCTTGAACAGTGCAGAGGAACAAATGTAAAGGGAACGTTTTACCACTAACACCATTTAGTAGCCTCACTTTCTTTCTCTCCCCTCAGCCCCTCCAGCCTCATCATACTTGCAAGGAAGGAGGATGTACCCTCTCAAAGCAATAATATAAATACAAGGGGGTGGAGGGGTGGGCGACAATGTATCAGGTACTGAAATCAGACATTATTTCCATCACATTCGGGGTGCGGGGGGAGAGCAGAGACACAAAACAAATACT